CCCTCCCGGTAATAGAGCAAGTTGCCGGATTCGAGGATTACCGTGTCCTCCCCCTCTCTTCGGACTTCGGATAATCCTATAATATGCCAGCGTAACTTGTCTATCTCTTCTTCCAGCTCCACAATCTTCTCGTCAGTCCTCAGGGTGCGTGCGTTGTATGTTGCCAGGTCGAGTCGTCGTAGGTGGCAACCGAACCTCCACCGGAGATTCTTAGCACCCCCTGCCCCGCCGTTACCATGGTCGCCACCGTAGCCAGGAATAGCGGGGCCGCCGGGGACTGGGGGCCGTTTATTATTGTCATTGCTCATGGGGGGTATATTGCCATAGTTGCCACGCTTGGCGAGCGGGTTGGCAACCGCAGTTTTTTTATTGTTATTTTGGCTATTATCAGGAAGATGCTGCTGCCCATCTCCTGCCTGTTTCCCTTTGTCGCCTTTTACGACACCCACGGGAAGATATGGGGTAGTGGATATTCTTAACCGCCACTACACGGCATATAGTGGCAAACTACATATAGCGTTCTATTTATACATACTTTTTCAAAATACAAGGAGCATATTCTTCTTAGTACTACATGTTTTATGTTTTCCTGGCCTATGTCAATCTACAATTTTTGAAGGCCTTCCTTTTTGGCATCCTAAAATAAATATTATGCATCCTAAAGTACCAATCAAAAATAATCTTAACCTCATCAAATCTTTTGATCACAAAAAAACTATTATAGAAAATTTAAGATTTTCACTATTTTCAAGTTCTTTCCTTAAATGAAAGGCTCTCAATCGACCGTTTGATTAAATATACAGTTTACGTATCTAAAACGTTATTTGATCATAGGACTACATTAATATTATTGTTAAAATTTATATCGATAATACATGACAGCACGTAAGGGCAACACTATGTAAAAATGTAAACAATCAAAATGTTTACTTGTTTAAATTTACATGATAATAGTCATTGGAAATTCTAGATAATAGCGTAAAACACGATTTGGAACCCATAACATGAACACGAAACGCAATACACATGAAAAAATATACGATTATGGAAAAAAAATACAACTAACCTGCAAAATTCTTCATTTTTACGAAAATTTGATTTACATCCATTGATGCAACTCTTTGTCATGTTATACTTGCTCAATTACCCTTTACTAATGAACAAAAAACTCCAAAATAGTCAAAATTCACTGTAACGTTCATAACTCCTAACAAGGGTTAGATGACAGACGAACTACCACAAAACCACAAATGAACGTCATCCTAAAATGGCGTCATGCTTCAAGGTGGAACTTGGTGACATTATGAAAACTGTCAACAGAAAATTGAAGTCTAAGATATGTACTTATCTCTTTTACATTTGAAAATCATGACGTGTGAGAATGAGACAGATATATTTTTGTTGGCAAGGTTCATGTTTGCATGATATTTGTATAACCAAATAATATATATGCAATTTACTGCTCATCCTCTATTTTTCTTATATCTATGGCTAGCACTCTTATTATAGTTCTCTAAATATAGCTTGATTAGAATGACAGCTGTCATTCTGATGTGACTAGTGCTGGGAACATTAAATCGATATATCGATAGAGTATTCATAAATATTAATAAAAATATACACCCAATACTTATTTTAACTAAGTATTTAAACATTGGAACTCATTTTAGGCTAATAAAAAAAATAGTAATATTAAATTTGTTGACACAAGGGTGTTCATCCTAAATAACAATCATCATCATCAGAATCAGAGTCACTGGGATCTTTGCGATTAATAATTAATTCCTGATCACACAAATAATCAAAGACAACATCAACATCACGTTGCCAATCTTCTGTGATAATTCTTCGCGTTTTATCGACCATTTTCTTCCAACCATTTGGTGTTACATGATCACATGCATTGTTCAGCAAACTTAATATTTTATTTGCCGTGAACGGTGGGGTTGTGTTGTCTTCCTAAAACGAAAACAATGGGTTAATTTTTTTTTAATAGTGATGTACTAATTATTCAACTTCATTTAAATATTAATTACCTTTAACTTGCGCCCAAATCAATTCTATTGCGTTATACTGGCAATGATACGGTGGCAGGTGGATAACGGTATGTCCCTTTTTTGCCTTCTCATCCAAAACATATATTGGCGTTTGGGGCTTGTATATTCTCACTAAACGCAAAAGTTCTGTTTTAAACATAGTGCCGTCGGCTTGCACTCCATTGGTTTATTAATTAATTAATATTATTATTTTAATTATTTCATCCTTCCGGTTATTCGCTGTCAGAGGCTTATTTTTTTGAACTGAATAATAAGGTGCATTGTCCATTAGTATCACAGTTAGTTCATCTAAATTATTTAGACGTTTTATAAACCATTCTTCGAAGTTTTCAAAATTCATCTCTTTGTGGTACTCCGTCGTCTTGACAGACTTGAATTTCAGTAAACAATTTGGTACAAATCCAACATGGCAAATTGTTAACCTTTGACCTTTGCCCTCAGGTACCTGGGTAAAAGATTTGGGTTTATCATCAGTCTAAGTTTTAGAAACCATGTGGTTTGCATTCAGCCATGTTTCATCCAGTAATACCATCATCATCATCATCATTACAGTCTTTCATAAGTCTACTGCTGAACATAGGCCTCCCCCAAGGAATGCCACAAAGCACGGTCCTGACCCACCTGCATCCAACAACTTCCTGCATGTCTTACCAGGTTGCCATCTGAGAACCTTTCTTCTCCATCGGTTGTTGGTTCTTCGAGCTACATGGCCGGCCCACTGCCACTTCAGCTTACTAATCAGTTGGGCTATGTCGGTTACTCTGGTTCTACTGCGGATATCCTCATTTCTAAGTTTATCACGCAGAGACACGCCGAGCATAGCCCTCTCCATAGGTCACTGAGCGACCTTGAGCTTCCTCATACGGCCAGCAGTGAAAGACCACATCTCAGATCCGTAAGTCATCACTGGCAACACGCACTGGTTGTACAATTTCGTTTTCAGGTTTTGAGGTATGTCTGATGAGAAGATGTGTCGTAGTTTCCCGAACGCTGCCCAGCCGAGTTGAATCCGTCGATTGATCTCTCGGTCGAAGTTGGACTTACCTAGTCGGACTATTTGTCCCAGGCAAACATACTCGTCAATAATTTCGAGCTTAGTGCTCCCAACAACTACCGGCATAGGTGTGACATGGACACTAAACATGATCTTTGTTTTGCCCATGTTCATCCTAAGACCTATTCGTTGGGAGACACTATTGAGGTCATTGAGCATGGTGCTTAGGTCCTCCAGCGATTCTGCCATAAGGACTATATCGTCGGCAAATCGAAGGTGAGTGATGTACTCGCCATTGATGTTAATACCGTATCCTATCCAGTCCAGAAGCTTGAAAACGTCTTCCAATGCAGCGGTGAAGAGTTTCGGGGATATAACATCACCTGTCTTACACCTCTCTGCAATTGGATAGGTTTCGTAGTCTGGTTCTGTACTCGGATAGCCATCGTAGCTCTACTGTACAAACACTTCAGCACTTCGATATACCGACAGTCAACTAGGCACCGCTGAAGGGACTGCAGCACCGCCCATATTTCGACGAAATCAAAGGCTTTCTCATAGTCCACATACGCCAGACATAGTGGCAAATTGTACTTTTCGGACTTCTGCACAATTTGCCGAGGGGTCTATGGTGCTAAAGCCCTTTCGGAAACCGGCTTGTTCGGGAGGCTGGAAGTCGCCAAGTTTGCGCGCGAGACGATTCGTAATGACTCTCGAAAACAGCACGTAGATGCGGCTCAGAAGGGAAATCGGTCTGTAGTTCTTCAAGAGAGCGTTGTCACCTTTCTTAAAGAACAAGATCACCGCACTTCTGCTCCACGCCTCCGGTGTAATGCCACCATGAAGGGCGGAATTAAAGAGCTTCTGAAGGACTTCAAGTACTGGTCTTCCACCCGCCAGGAACACCACTTTATCACAATTATCAATATCTATCACTTTTCGTAAAAAATCAATACGAACAAAAGCTATGTCGTTGCGTTCCATAGTAATTTTTCTTTTGTTACTTTTTTATAATAGAATCCATTTTTTTTTAAATATTGTTGATAAAGATGGTAGACTCCCACTGAACAAATTTGCATCTTTCAGAAAAACTGCTAATTTTGTTAATGTTGTCAGCTCGTTACGTGTGTAGATGCGTAGATGTTATTACGAATTGCTGCGGCGTCGAAATAGTTTATGTCAATTATAGGGCAACGTCACTCTTGATGACAGCTGTCATTCTAATCAATCTATATTTAAAGAACTATAGTTTGTGATTAAATACTGCGCCCCCTGTCCCTATTAGGGGTCGCTTCCGATACGACAGAAAGGCCCTCCAGGCCAAAGCCAGGTGGTGTTGACTGGGTATGCACTTAGGCTTCATAGTAAGTCCCACATAACCACGCAGCCGGCTGCGTGGTATGCTTAGAGTATTCACCACCTCCCTCCACCGCTTCACGGAGGGTAGCCCTTTACTTTGCTTCTGGGCGCAAAAAAATAATGAAATGCTCTTTACGTTCCATTTCATTTGTAGATTCTTTCATTTTGACTTGATTTTGACCAAATTTTGACAAGAGCTTTGGCGGGAATTAGACTACCGGCGGATTACTGCTCCTGGTTTATGGTTCGAATATTAGTTTGGAGTTGATTTTGATACGTAAAAGTGTGATTATGTGTGTATGAACTATAAGTGAAAACGATGTAATAAGTGCTTCGATAGTTATAAAGATCTCAGATATTTTTATCCGCTTAAGGACCTACAGATAATATCGTTTTCAAATGTCCGCTTGGTTAAAATGTCGTCAAAATCTCCTAAAAACTTTGCAATGTGACCCATCAGCATATAGTAAAATTTTGGAAACAGCCACATATCAGATAAGGCTGTATACTCTTTGACCTTGGCCTCTTATATTTAGCAAATAACTACAACGAAATTTTGACATTGACACTTGACAGCTACATTTTATGACAGACGGCATTTGGTTTGGTGTGATGGTGTGATAAATTTTTGTAAATTCGTATTTTTCGTTTTCTAACACAAGCTATTTATACACGCACCTAAGGAGAATTCAGTAAGTGAAGGTCTTTCCTATAGCTAATCATTACATATCATTTTATTTGGGATAAGTTGCTACTTACATAATCCTTTTTTATGTGCGATAAAATCAAACAGATTTCATATTTGCGATTCAATTTACATTCGGTTTAAAAAGAGCTCAAGGTCTTAGAATTGGCATTATAGTGTACGGTTTTTTTAAGATTAAACCGAAGGTATTATAATGAGTACGCTTAAATTGTAATGATATCGCAATTATATAATAATTAAATGAAAATAAATTTTACGGATTATATCGCGTTTCATTTTAGCATTTTATTTCCCGACGTTTCGGGTGCTTTACAGATCCATGGTCACGGGACTGAGGTGTTTGATGTCCCAATGTCATAGTTATGTATTAATTTTTGGTCCAATCTATGCTGAACAAGCTTACAGTATCTTGCAAGTCTTGCAGTGGTGTGCTTGGATTTGGATTTAATTTTATTAATTATAGAATCTCAAACAGATGGTAACACCCATCCATCTTCTCTATTGAGTTTAGGATGTTTTTTAATTTCAATAGCCTTACTAGCCAATATGAATCATCTTTAGAAGGAATTGGTTTTCTTATGTGAGGATTTGTGGTTTATAAAATCTAATGCAATAGCAGAGTGGCCATGAGTGCAGTGCTTTACGTCAGCTGTTTTCTATCACAGATCTGCTCTCTGAAGCAAAGATTTTCTCATGGTAGCTAACTGTAATAGATGGTGGTGAGATTCACCATTTAAATATTCACTTGGTATGAGTCTTTTTTTCTATACACAGTGTTAGAAACAGTTTTATCTGGATTTTGGATGACTAAAACATCTAGAAAAGCTAAAGAGTTATTTGCCTCTACCTTCATTGTGAATTGTATTTTAGAGTTTATGGAGTTGAGGTGGTTTAAAAATGCAGTTACTTTGTCCAATGGTAAAATTGTGAAAGTTTTATCTATGTACAGCTTGTAGAATCTTGGATTTACAGGAGCAGTAAGAAGAGCTTCTGCTGATAATCTGATAAGATAAGATTGAATCTGATAGGATAAGATTGACATACAATCAAATGATCACACAGTTCACCTGATGTAAGTAATCTCTGTGGCCCATAGACATCTAAATCTATCCTTGACTATGAATGAAAATGCAGATGCGTTGTCAGCCGTGAGGACTAAAATGGAAAGCCTTGCTTCCAGTAAAAGGGGTCTCCAGTTCTCTACACTCACTATACAAAACACAGCAGTGTTAAGCTATTTTACGCTGGTATTCTGTGAGAGTCTGGTTCATTCCTGGTCGAGCCAACCTATTCGTGCTACAACTATACTAATATAGCTGCAGCATGACTACCATGTAATTTTAAATAAAAGTAAATCAGTTTCTAGAGTACTATATTAATACACAAAACAATGCCTCCAGTGGTTTGCTTTTAAATTTTTTGCACATTTTTAAATCTTTTTTTTTCTACTTTTTGGTCCATAGTTGGTTTATTATTTTCTAATCAAATTAATATGAAATTTAACTAATATTGTGGAAAGAAATATTAACTTTTACATTTTCCTAACCAACTAACTTCCCTGTTATGAAATCTGTCAAATATTTCATCGACCTTATGGCAGGAAAAGTCGTGGATGGCCTCATTGGTAGACCTCATCTTTCTTCATTACCTCTTATCACATTCCTCATTCATTACAGGCTATCAAAGGTCCACTGCTGTACATAGCCTCCCCCAAAGATTGCCTCTTTGGAGGAATATTTGCCACAGCAATAGCAGGACAGTTGCCAGGCTTGGCAGGCGGGTTGACAACTGCAGTTTCATTTCGCTTTGTCAAAAAAGGTAGACTGAGGCAAAAATACAACAGAATCTCTAGGATCTCCTTCTCACATTCCTTCATCAATATGATTACAGCCCTTCACAAATCCACTGCTGAACATAGGCCCCCAAGAAATGCCACAAAGCATGGTCCTGAGCCACCTGCATCCTTCGACTTCCTACATGTTTTACCAGTTCGTCACTCCATCTAGTGTTGGGCCACCCCACACTTTGCCTACTGGTATAAGGCTGTCACATTCCTTAACTAGACATTATTACGGGAAGATACAATAAGTTTTATTGTAAGGTTGTATTTCTGTTTCAAATATAATAATCTTATTATTATTATTGTATTTTAAACCTTTACGCACAAAAAGTAAAATCGTACATATAGCGGACTTAACGACTTAAGGTATTCTCTCCCAGTCAACCATTAGGCAAAGTTAGGCAAAGCAAAGATAGATACACAATCTATAAAACTTGTTCAAAATGCAGGTTAACAATTATCATAGTATGAAATAAATTTAAGTTACCAAATCATATAATTGGATTGCAGTTTTATCTTTGTTTGCACAATGATTCACATTAAGCCAATTTCATTGTGGCTCATTACTTCTTTTTGTTGAATAAAATGAAAGTAGGTATGTACAATTATTGTTAATAATGTTTATTATTTGATTAGCATTTCTGTTTGTTGATTTACATTTTGTTCAGAGTTGTTTAAGCTATTGTTTTGTTCTTTAATATTTATGATTCGTTTATATTATGTAGGAATAATGTTATATTAAATCTTAACAAATGAGAGTGCATAGATAACAAAATGGTAGATGAGAAAAAGGCGGACAGAGAACTAATTAATTTAAAAATGGTATAGTTTTTTTTTAATATGTTTCTTGTGAGAATCAGACGGGAATTCGTCGCATCTCAGTCTGAATGGAGCTTGGTTGACGTGATTTTTTCGCTATAGATTACTGTGACTATAGGAGAGGTTTAAATCTCCAAGATTGTTTTGATTTCAACTTTAGGCTCTACTTTTATCTTGTCAGTATCATATTTAATTGGTTTGCCTGATTCAAAAGAAGCTTTGAACGTGAATCGTGACAGCTCGGTCGGCAACCATACTGACTGGTGATCAAACATGACTATATATTGTTACGTGCGGTATGATGCGGTATGCTCGGAGTTTCTCTGCGTGATAAACTTAGAAATGAGGATATCCACAGTACAACCAGAGTCACCGACATAGCCCAACAGATTAGTAAGCTGAAGTGGCAATGGGCCGGCCATATACGAGGGCGGCACTGAAAATTTCGGGAATCAAGGAAGTGACACAACATTACTATTTAAAAATATATTTATTACTTTTCGAAGTATTCTCCGTGAAATTTGACACATTTTTCCATACGATGGAACCAATCATTGAAGCAACCATTCCATTCGGAAGTTGGGGTCTCCAAAATGGCCGTTTTGTAGGCGTCCACAGCTTCTTCAGGTGATGAAAATCACTGTCCACGCAATTTATTCTTTATTTTAGGGAAAGTATAGAAATCATTAGGGCTTTGGTCGGGGCTGTACGGCGGATGGTCTAATAATTTTGTTTTCTTGCTCTAAAACTCTTTTGTTTTGTGTGCGGTGTGAGAACTCGCATTGTCGTGATGGAAGATGATGCGGCGGTTTCAGTTCTCTTTACGGAGTTCAGAAACGACCTGTGGCAAACAAATGTTAGCATACCATTCTGCTTTAACCGTTCTTTGTCTCTCAAGAGGAATAGTCGTAACATGGCCGGTTTTGGAGACAAACGTGGCCACCATTTTTTTTGCAACACTGCGTGAACTAACAATTTTTGTTGGCTTTAACTCATTTTCGAACACCCAAACTAGTGACTGGGTTTTTGTTTCTGGTTCGTACGCGTATATCCAGGATTCGTCACCTGATACGATGTTGTATACAGCATTTGAGGATCCTGCGTGGAATCTTTCGAGAGTTCTGACGCACCAAGTAACGCCGCGAGCCGCTTTTTGCTCTTCATAGAGCGAATGTGGTATTCATCGGGAAAACAACTTTTTTACATCTAATTGTTCATGCAAGATTATTTGTATTTGACTCATGCCAATGTCTAAAGTTGCCTGAATTTCGTGGTATGTCACATGTCGATCTTCCTCAATCAGCTTACGCACAGCATCAACATTTTCTTGGGTGACTGCAGTTTTTGGACGACCTTGACGGGGATCATCACTGACCTTGACACGTCCACGTTGAAATTCGGCAAACCAGCGATAAATTGTAGTTTTGGATGGGGCTTCATCACCAAATGAAGAAATCATCCGGTCAACACACTGTTTTTGTGTTAAACCACTTCGTAAGTCATAATAAATCATCGCTCTTGAATTTTCTCGAGTTAATTCCATTTTCTCAACGACTAAACAAGTTTGATAAAACCTTGTGGCAAGACCGAGAATCTTTTTTAAAGTAAATAAATGGTATTCGATTTTTAAAACCAAGGAGTTTTCAATTAAAAAGATTTTAATATGACAGGAACAGTGGAAATATTCTATTCCCGATACTTTTAGTGCAGCCCTCGTAGCTCGAAGAACCGACAACTGATGGGGAAAAAAGGTTCGCGAGTGGCGGCCTCGTACCGGCAGATGAAGTGTAGGGCGTCCCCCCTCTAGATGGAGTGACGACCTGGTAAGACATGCAGGAAGTCGATGGATGCAGGTGGCTCAGGACCGTGCTTTGTGGCATTTTTGGGGGAGGCCTATGTTCAGCAGTGGACTTGTGAAGGGCTGTAATGATGATGATGATGAAGATGGTATGAATAAAAATGCCAATTATCATGAGAAATGGAGAAATACGCAACTGGCTATCGTAACTATTTCTATGGTTCTGAAACAAAGCCACTGTCAAATAAAGAGAAATTCCAACGAAGAGGTTTGAAAGCAAGCAAGGAAGCTTAAGCTGCTTATAATTTTGAGATTTCTTAGGGATCTCGAGATAATGAAAGGAAAGATGATTAGAAAACACGTTGACGTGTAATAAACGAAATATTACTTTCTTACGGAAAATGGTGTGGCTAGAGGCATTTTTTAAACAGTTTTGATGTCAAGGTGCCATAATGGCATTTTTGGGGGAGGCCTATGTTCAGCAGTGGACTTGTGAAGGGCTGTAATGATGATGATGATGAAGATGGTATGAATAAAAATGCCAATTATCATGAGAAATGGAGAAATACGCAACTGGCTATCGTAACTATTTCTATGGTTCTGAAACAAAGCCACTGTCAAATAAAGAGAAATTCCAACGAAGAGGTTTGAAAGCAAGCAAGGAAGCTTAAGCTGCTTATAATTTTGAGATTTCTTAGGGATCTCGAGATAATGAAAGGAAAGATGATTAGAAAACACGTTGACGTGTAATAAACGAAATATTACTTTCTTACGGAAAATGGTGTGGCTAGAGGCATTTTTTAAACAGTTGATGTCAAGGTGCCATAACGAGCACGTATACACTGCTCAAGGTTGAAAAGATCGAAACTAGTTATAACGAATAAATATTATATGTTTTTTTTACTTTTGGCATTGGTCATTTGGTCATTGATCACATGAGACCTTGTGTCTAAAATTTTAAAACACGCAGAGCATGTGTTAGATATTGTCAGTAATCATTTCGAAGTGCTCTTTGCGATAAAATTATTACAACGACATTGTTTTCTATGATTGTTCCACCGCACAACGACCTCTTATGTGGCTTGATGCTAGTAATAGACAGGATCAGTTAATATTGGAGTTCGGTCATTTTATATTGTTACTTAAAGGAATCTTATCAAATATATTTTTTTATTAGATATTTTCTTGCAAGTGTCCGAAATATATAAAATTCCATAAATAAAAAATATATAATATTAAAACCAGCTCAAACATGTTTTAAACAAACAAGGTTCAAAGACGATCACACAGTCCTGATGGAAAGTGGATGCATTTGCTTACAGACTCATTAATCCGTCCTCGATGGAGTTTCAAAACGCTGATGCGTTATCACTTCTGAGTTCTGTACCTACTAGTAAAAAGAGTCTCGGGCTCTCAACGCTCACCATACAAAACGTATAATGCAGCTGTATGGGCTACGAAGGCTGCACTAAAAGTATCGGGAATGGAATATTTCCACTGTTCCTGTCATATTAATTTTTTTTTAATTGAAAAGTCCTTGGTTTTAAAAATCGAATACTATTTATTTATTTAAAAAAAGATTCTCGGTCTTGTCACAAGGTTTTGTCAAACTTGTTTAGTCGTTGAGAAAATGGAAATGACTCGAGAAAATTCAAGAGCGATGATTTATTATGACTTTCGAAGTGGTTTAACACAAAAATCAAAAACAGTGTGTTGACCGGATGATTTCTGCATTTGGTGATGAAGCCCCATCCAAAACCACAATTTATCGCTGGTTTGGTGAATTTCAACGTGGACGTGTCAAGCTCAGTGACGATCCCCGTCAAGGTCGTCCAAAAACTGCAGTCACCCAAGAAAGCGTTGATGCTGTGCGTAAGCTGATTGAGGAAGATCGACATGTGACATACCGCGAAATTCAGGCAACTTTAGACATTGGCATGATTCAAATACAAATAATCTTGCATGAACAATTAGGTGTAAAAAAAGTTGTTTTCCCGATGGATACCGCTCTGTGAAGAGCAAAAAGCTGCTCGCGTTACTTGGTGCGTCAGAACTCTCGAAAGATTCCACGCAGGATCCTCAAATGCTGTATACAACATCGTATCAGGTGACGAATCCTGGATATACGCGTACGAACCTGAAACAAAAAACCAGTCACGAGTTTGGGTGTTCGAAAACGAGTTAAAGCAAACAAAAATTGTTCGTTCACGGAGTGTTGCAAAAAAAATGGTGGCCACGTTTGTCTCCAAAACCGGCCATGTTACGACTATTCCTCTTGAGGGACAAAGAACGGTTAATGCAAAATGGTATGCTAGCATTTGTTTGCCACAGGTCGTTTCTGAACTCCGTAAAGAGAACTGCAACCGCCGCATCATCCTCCATCACGACAATGCAAGTTCTCACACCGCACACAGAACAAAAGAGTTTTTAGAGCAAGAAAATATAGAATTATTAGACCATCCGCCGTACAGCCCCGACCTAAGCCCTAATGATTTCTATACTTTCCCTAAAATAAAGAATAAATTGCGTGGACAGAGATTTTCATCACCTGAAGAAGCTGTGGACGCCTACAAAACGGCCATTTTGGAGACCCCAACTTCCGAATGGAATGGTTCTTCAATGATTGGTTCTATCGTATGGAAAAATGTGTCAAATTTCGCGGAGAATACTTCGAAAAGCAATAATTACATTTTTAAATAGTAATGTTGTGTCACTTCCTTGATTCCCGAAATTTTCAGTGCCGCCCTCGTAAACGCTGCCCTGATCCCCCTTAGGATTTACAAAGGTATTAAAAAATTACTACTAGTTATTTTTAAAATAATTTGAGACCTCCCTCTGATCCACTTGAGTACTGAATCATTATTGCGACAGATCAGATCAGACAGATATCCGTCGTAGAACTAGCGTAACTGACCTAGTCCAACGCATAAGTAAATTGAAGTGGCAAATGGTTGGTCAGAATTATACTGGCTCGAGGGACCGATTTTCGATGGGGAAGAATAAGGTTCTCGAGGTGCAGCCTTGTTTGCCCGTATACAATGAAAAGTATCACTAGATGTAAAAACAACTTTTTAAGTTTTGCAAGGAGTCTATTGGTGTGGTTTGTGGCAATCTTTAGGGAGGTCTATGTTCAACAGTGGACTTATTTTTATTTTTAATGAAGTTCTCCCACACCAAGATTTTCTCCTTCATATTGAGATAATTTACAAACATAAATTTTACAAGGACATACATTCAGCACCGGAACAATTTATTTAGGCCATTCAAATAGTTGTTTCGTGCAGGATTCGAAGCCTTGCCTCTCAGTGCCGCAAATCATTGCTAACCTACTGCACAACGGAGCCGTCGAATTTCATTGTCGCTCAATTTAATTTGAAACTGAACGAAAATTCATATAAAGTATTAAACGTTAAGGAAAAGTATATTTTGATTTTTGCATCACAGAATATATAATACTACTAAGCGCTAGGACTACTTTCAGCCTAGGAGTCCATTTGGTTAGGCACCACCTTCTTACCTATTTCATCAGAAAGCAGTTCGTGCACTGTTTTCTGATGTGAAGGGTATAGATAGCCAGTAATTATAGGTTGTGAGACATTCCATCTTAGTCCTCAGAAATTACAACGTATCTGTAACTTTCTTTGTTTTAAGTTGATTGCAGATGTGCATGGATTGAAACAGCCACTTACTATTAGGCTTTTTTTTAAATAGAATATGCGTGACAGACGAGCACACTGACCACCTGATGGTAAGTGGATGTTGTGGCCCATAAACATACATTTATCCTCAGTTAAGAATCAAAATGCAAATGCGTTGTCACCCCTGAGGACTAAGATGGAATGCCTTGTAGTAAAAAAGGGTCTCCGGTTCTCTACACTTACCATACGAAACACAGTAGTGTTAAGCTGATTTACGCTGGTATTCTGTGAGAGCGTGGTCCTTCCTCGGTCGAGCCGACCCCCGCGTGCTACAACCATAATATAGCTACAGCATGGCTCTATTACTTATAACGTATAGGTATAGGTGAACTGTAAGTTTATTTGTCATTTCGGTTTTATAAAAAAAGTACAGAATGGCCACTCGCCCCCTCCCACTGATTCGACTTAACTCACCTCGCCCGGAATTCAATAGGCACGTATTTACTCTCGATGGAGGAACCAGTACGTTCCTTCGTGTCGTATTTCAATTCACTCGCACGTATAACGGCAGCGTTCACGTAAACAAACTTTATGCATGTGATCGTGGTTGGTGATTGCGACGCGTATTTTTCGTAATTTTTGCGAGAATGGCCAGGAGGTGTTTGTACTAAAGTAATTTTTGATTCTACAGACAATGTCTTCAGAGAAGAGGATAGACATCACCCAACCTCTATGGGACCAGAGCACGTTCGTGGGCCGGTTCCGGCACTTCGCTTTTATATCCAATCCATTGCTGACGTTTGTGCCGGAAAAGCAGCTGTACGAAGCACGAGATCTTTATATGAAGTACAAGTAAGGTTTTTTAATATCTTTGAATCTTATTTTTTTGTTCATCAGTACAAAACTCCACTGATGAACCTGAGCCTCTCCTATTTGGACCTTACAGTCCACTTGCTGTTAAGTAGTTTCTTTAGTCCATGAACACCTGCAGTCAACTTTAAACAACGAAGGAGGTAAATATATTACGATAAAAAAATCCATCCACTTTGAGGAAGGAAGGAGAGGTCTCTCCGAGGCTTATGTCGTATTAGCAGGGCCGGAACACAAAGCTTGCAGGTAGCGCATCTTCCCTAGTACGCTACGACATATGAAAGGTATCAGGACTTTATAAAAATATAAAAAACTTGAAATTTATAAAAACTCAAAACTATAAAAAAACTGCGGTTGATAACCTGCCTGCCAAGCGTGGCAATTATAGCAAAATCCCCTTTATGAGAAAGACTTTTATAGGTTATAATGGATAGATGGATGCAAGCCCAGATGCTTCTTTAACATCGGAGACCTTTTTGTACTAATTATAGTGACAAATGAGCACACGCGCGAGTGAAGTTAATGCTGTGGGCTGTGGCCCATAGACACTTTTATTCGTCGTCGATAAAGAATTAAAATGAAGACGCGTTCTCGTAAACCTAAGGTCTAAGATGAAATGCCTTGTTATCAGTAAATAAAGGTCTCCGGTTTCATCGCTTATAATTAATAATTTATTAACTGCATAATAATGAATTTACATAAATTATATATTAACATATAAATGTCTAAAAATTACATCCAAGATTATATTAGAACTTCTGACTTCTAAATTAGGCAGGGTCTGTATCATAAAAGTCAGTGCTCTTAACAAAATCAATGTCGGCTAGACAAAGTTCAGGTGTTATCTACTCTTTGTATCGATTTAAACGAGCATGCATGTGACCGATTTGTGAAACCGTATGTGTGTATTAATTTCATATGCGTTTAACGCCGGTTGTGTATTTTTTTCAAATGAAAAAGTTATATTTAAAGGAATATTTAGTTTAAAGGAGATTTGAAGACAGATATGTGTTACTAGTTTTAGCATGCTCAGGGATTTTTCTTACATTTTCTATGCAGATGACACTACTTTAATCATCCATGGCAGGCATTGGATGATTATGGTAGTGTCATCTTCATATACTAAGATTTTTAAGTTCGGCAAAGACAACTTACACTGGTCTTTAATGTAAATAAAAAATAGAGTAAGGCTTAATATGCTACCCTGTGGTACACCGTGGAGGAAATAATCGTATCCCCTATAAATATTATCTACTTTACACATTGACTGCGGTTTCTCAGGGAATCTCTAAAAATATCCAGATCTAAGCCTCTTTTTCGTATTCTTTCCATTTTGTCGAGTAAGACTGAACCGAAACTGTGTCAAAAACCTTTGTAAGATCTAGAAAGATTACTAGGCATTTGGACTTGTCTAAGTTCCTAAAAATCGTTTCAGTTAATCATATTACAGCATCTTCTGTTGATTTCCCAAAACGAACGTCAAATTGATTGTGATCTATTATAAGCAATTTGTTTCGAGAAAATTCACAAGACGTGAATTAAACACTTTTACTAATATCTTAAAAAAAACAGGAAGTACAGATATTGTCCTGTAGTTGTTCACAATGTCGCCTTTCCCTTCGTCGAACATCATACTATTATACATCTATTTCACAAATGTATTCCATTAAAAATAAAAATAAAATTGGTGCTTTACAAAAAATATTCTATTGACATTTAAAGGTACTTGAAACCTTAACGCTAGTTGAATGACATAAAATTGTTCACAGAGCAGGCCAAGAACCGCCAGGTACGACCATGGCTCAAGTGATAAGAGCCAAACAACTGTACGAGTCTGCATTCCATCCAGACAGCGGTGAGCTGCAGAACGTGTTCGGTAGAATGTCCTTCCAGATGCCTGGCGGTTGTCTAGCCACAGGCGCTATGTTGCAATGGTACAGGTTAGTTTTTGTATCACAGATTAAATAATAGTTACTACGTAACTTGACCGTTTTCCTGATAAAACTTAAAATAATAAAAAACTGCAGTTAACAATCCGCTCGCCATGCATGTCAACTATGTTGAGAGGCTTGTTCTGTTCAGCAGTATACTTTTATAGGCTGTAATGGACGGATGGAATTTGACCGTGTAGTGGCGGTGTAAGAACCAACCCACTACCCTATTTCATTCCGTGGGTGTCGTAAGAGGCGGGCGACAAAGGAAAGCTGAAACAGGAGATGGGCAGCAGCATTCTCCTTATAATAACTGGTAGAGAATGAAAAACCTATTAAGTTCGCCACTTATATCCCTTATTATAAGGTGTATAATAAAGATTAAATAAATAAATAAAATATTTTAATGGAGAGGAATAGTGTCGGCGCTGTCATCGCACCACCATAGCTTTAACGATCTGAACAACAATCAGTCTTAATATCATGCTATCGAAATTCTCAAACCGATTTTTTTTTGAATACCAAGATATAACATAACAATAATATTCGATCTCACTTAAATGAAAGTAAATAAATATCTTTGCAAATGTCAAATATTTATAAAATTATAATGATAAATCAGCATAGCTATATAAATAATACTTCACATTACTTTTGTATACGCGTACGGCATCAATTTAAAATAACCTTTTACGTAAATCCAAAGAACTATGAAGTTATCTGTATTTCATTACATGTATAGTTCTTTATCAATAATTTAAATTCGAATTTTACAAACAAAGCAACATATAAACAATTTAACCAGAATCAACTTTTTTTGCTTGACGTTGTTTCAATGATATATCGTCGTACGTGTACTTTACCGCAGTGATGATTCAAATTTATGCTAAATGCGAACCTTTACAATTTATATTTCTTTACTTAATTTTTTTTATTTTCTTTACTATATTTATTTACCTGATAAAATGAAAAATAATTTCAAATAATGTTAATTTTCGTTTTTGTCCACCGAATGTCGCATGTTTTTTTTTTATAGGATAAGGGTGACAAACGAGCACACAGTCCACCTGATGGTAAGTGGTTGCTGTGGCCCATAGACATCTACATCTATCTTCGATTAAGAATCAAAATGCAGATGCGTTGTCACCCGTGAGGACTAAGATGGAATGCCTCGTTTCCAGTAAAAAGGGTCTCCGGTTCTCTACACTCACCATACGAAACACAGCAGCGTTGAGCTGCTATTTTACGCTGGTATTCTGTGAGAGCGTGGTCCTTCCCCGGTCGAGCTGATCCATTCGTGCTACAACCATAATATAGCTGCAGCATGGCTCTACCACGTACATGACTTCGTGTTGGATACATAAAGAAGCACTAAAATCCTTTTTACGTAGGAAATGTTCGCATTAAGCCTGTAATCGTTCATTTCGTAGAACGGCGACGGCGGTAGTGTTCTGGCAGTGGGTGAACCAGTCGTTCAACGCGCTGGTGAACTACACGAACCGCAACGCGAACGCGCCGCTGAGCACGAAGCAGATGGGCGTGGCCTACGTGTCCGCCATGACCGCCGCCATGTCCACCGCGCTCACCTTCAAGTTCGTCATACAGAAGCGCGCCACTAACCCCATATTGGCCGTGAGTATACCAACCTGTGTTTTGCTTAATAATGACATTTGAAAAAATTTATAAAATTCTTTTATTGTACCTACTCTAATATATTCTTGACAGAGTTTCTGCCTGAGGCAACTATGTAACTAACAATGATCTTAGTCTTTGTACCACTACATATAATAAAAAAAGATATAAAGATATAAATAACATAATAAGACATTTATTTAATAAAGTAAGTATTGATTTAATAAAAGAGTATATATTTAAGACTTATAGTGTCGCCACTATCGTTGGCGACACCAAATGACATAAATAGTTATTTCTAAGAAAAAAGTAATTAATTTGACTTATAATTAAATCACAATAAACACGAATATTCAATCACATGTCCTTCTTGACTGATTATCACTCAGCTTTTAACACGAGAACACGCCAATTCTCGAAATGAGACAAGGAATGTTCCCGGCATTTTAAGAGCACGTAGGCATGATTTTAATAAAGATGATATAGTGTCAAATAATATTTTTTTTTACAATCCACATGGTCTTAAGTGGCTACGGCAAACCATGTCCACTTGCAGCCAACTTCATACAAAGAAGGTTGCAGGTGCGTTGTCACCTCTGAGGACTAATATGGAATGCCTCACAGTATGTAAATATAGTGGTTCACTATAATCTTCAGACCGGAATATTTCAATACAATCACTGCCATTTGGCGGGGAACAAATAGGTAAGAGGACTCCTAACATATAGTATTTTTTATAGGATAGAGTGACAAACGAGCACACAGTCCACCTGATGGGAAGTGGTTGCTGTGACCCATAGACATCTACATTTATCCTCAATAAAGAATCAAATTACAGATGCGTTGTCACCCGTGAGGACTAAGATGGAATGCCTCTTTCCAGTAAAATTATCTCCGGTTGTCTACACTCACCATACGAAAAACAGCAGTGGTAACCTGCTATTTTACGCTGGTATTCTGTGAGAGCGTGGTCCTTCCCCGGTCGAGCCGATCCATTCGTGCTACAACTATACTACTAATATAGTTGCAGCATGGCTCTATCACGTATGTAGTAATAGTGTAGTAGGTATATCCGCTAATATTGTAATGTCGAGTGTGGTAAAATTTTTGGTTTCCAGAGATTCGTGCCTTTCGTTGCAGTCGCTGCGGCTAACTGGGTCAACATCCCACTTATGAGGCAGAACGAGATCTTACTAGGTATGTGTACACGGACAATTAAAATTTATAGAAAAAGTTTATTTATTACTACTAAGAAATACTGAGACAAAGTATCTTCAGCTAGTATACGCGTGTGGTACACTGAAAGTTTTGCGTAAGTGGTTCAGGACCTTGCTTTGTTTTTTTTATAAGAGAGGGGGCAAACGAGCATGCGGCTCACCTGATGGTAAGTGACTACCGCCGCCCATGAACAACTGCAACACCAGGGAGGGAATTGCAGATGCGTTGCCGGCCTTTTAAAAAGGAGTACGCTCTTTTCTTGAAGGTCCCTAAGTCGTATCGGTCCGGAAAAATCACTGATGGTATGCTTTGTGGCATTCCTTGGGGTGGCCTATGTTCAGCGGTGGACTTGTGAAGCACCCCTTCATTTTTTTCAAAAAATGAGTTTCTTGTTTTAATACTACAACAAGTACATTCGAAATTCGAACATTTATGAGCCAGGAGCACAGAACTTTGAATGCGCTCTATGTATTCATTCTACTTCCCCATAAATTATAATTATGTGATAATAGCCGAACTTGTGTGCATGTTACGTACGTACAATTTCATCGTTAAGTCACTTGACAGTCATGTGAACAATGTTGAGACATGTTTTGTGTTCTCCATCTTCAAGAGCCCTCAAAAGTCTGAGTATTTTACGTTTGGCGTAAAAGAGATTGTAATACCGTCATCTATCGGAAGCCGTAGAATTTTTTTGATCTTTACGAACAGAAAGGCGTCTTACGACACCCACGGAATGATGTGGTGATGGATTTTCTTATGCTGTCATCACAGGCATTGAAATATGTTAAGCCTATTCACTTTCAAAGTTTTCTATAATCGTTAACGTTTGTAGAAATAGAAAGTTATTGGTCAAACATCATTCATTTTCATGTTCTCTTAATCACACACATATGCTAAACTTTTTTATGTTTTTTTTTTCTTATTTGTGCTGCCGCCGTAATAGAGGCTACTATAGTGTTGCCCGACCACCTCCAAAATGCATATAATACCTTACTAATTAGCCGCGGTAGCTAGAGCTAAGAACTCGTTGTATTTTTCTCAGTACGCGCGAAACCCTGGTTCGATCCCCGTCGGCACCAATGATATTGTTAATTGCAACTGTTAAGTACTGATTTATCACGTAATCACGGTGAAGGAAATTATCGTGAGGAAAGCTGCATGTTTCAAATATTATGAAAAAATATTTTGATGATTAAAATAGAATAGTTTTATTCAATATAGATTACAAGTAATTCTCATTGAATGTCATTTTGTTCTTTTACGTCTGGTACGGATAAAACCTCTGTCCTGGGAAAAACCAGCAAGGAATCCTGCTTGACAAAGACGTAAAGTCCGCCAACAATCGTTGTGGCAATGCGGCGGACACTTCCTTGTTCTTAAACCCTCCCAGAAGTAAAATAGGAGGCCTGTGCCCAGCCGTGGGACGCATATTGTTTTTAAATAGAATTACAAGGATTAAGGAAGGTTACAAAGGAGCACACAGTCCACCTGATGGTAAGTGAATGCTGTGGATTATAGACATTAAATCTATCCCCGATTAAGAATCAAAATGCAATGCATTGTCACCCCTGAGGACTAAGATGGAATGCCTTGTTTCCAGTAAAAAGGGCCTCCGGTTCTCTACACTCGCCATACGAATCACAGCAGCATTAAGCTGCTATTTCACGCTGGTATTCTGTGAGAGCATGGTCCTTCCCCGGTCGAGCTGACCCATTCGTGTTACAATCATAATATAACTGCAGCGTGGCTCTACCACGTACAAGATATATGTTCTAACTTTACTGTTTTTTCTTATTTCGCAGGTTTAGAAGTGACGGATGAAAATGGGAAAGTGATAGGAAAGTCGCAAATAGCGCCTATTAAGGGTATATCGCAAGTTGTGACGTCCAGGTAAGTTCATCACGACGCTGTAAAAGGATTGTAAAGCTATAAATTTTCATACAAAATGCGATAACGTTTTCCCCCCATTAAACATAGTCTAATTTTCCTAATTTTTAGAAATGTTCTAGATACAATGAAAAAGTAGGTCCGTGCGTTTTTATTTTAAAGAAATATTGCGTACGATATAAGTTATTAGCATCCTAAATATCTATATTTTTGACTTAAAACCTTCCACAAGCGTTGTTTTTTTAAATTAAACGTAATTGAATTAATAAAAAAGAAAAATGTACAGACCTAGATTAATATGTACTGAATGTAATGAGACCTAAATTGTCTCATTACGTAAAGGTTTAGGGGGTGAAAAAGTTATCGCTCGAGACAATATTTCAAAAAGGAAATGTAGGCAATTGACTCCAAGACTTGCAACTCTCTCTATCGCACGATACGGCTATACGGAGCGAGCGGTATGAAACAGATAGCATTTTGAAAATATCTACTCGCACCGCGTATCGGCACTTCACAATACTCTTAAGTCTAATTAGAATGTTCTCGAGGGTGGTGGGATTTGGGGTTCAGTACTTTTGAATTGAGAAAGCGTCATTATTAGGTAATTTTGATAGTTGTTACTATCTATTAACATCATCGTCGTCATTTACAGCTCTTTACAAGTATATTCCACATAACCACAAAACCACTCAACATCTATAAATGGTGCAATTTTATTGTAAATTTTTGGGCTTCAGTTTCGACTTGACAAGGTTATGCTACCTGCTTTCATTAAATCTGGTTTATTATTTTTATACTGCACTCATACGTAAAGGAAAACACATTAATATTAAAAGGAAACACTAATAAATTTTTTACATGGTGGAGCTACGCTCTGTGGAGTAGCTATGTAACCAAGGGCCCTTGAGATTGGGGCCCTATTTAAACTAAACACTTTAAAGGTGCTAAACTACTTCATCTTCAATTCCTTATCGCCCACTGCAAGACATAAAGCAAAGCTTGCTTGTTTGGGAAACCCCTGGCAATAAGGTGATCGCCACCATGCTGGTTCTATGAAAAATCATTTAAAAATTGTATCATCTCGCCACTCAACGTGTGAAACACAGCATTAAGTTGCATTTTTACCCTGGTATTATGTGAGAGCGTGGTCCTTCCTTGGCTTAGCCGTTCCATTCGTGCTGCAACCTTAATATAGCTGCAGCGTGGCTATACATACAGATTAAGTTATAGATTTAAGAACGGTTAGGGTTACAATTGGGACCTTACTGAAACGTGTTGGTGCCTAATATCTTTAGTTTTTAAAGAAATTATTGTTAAGTGAAATATGTTTGAATAAAAGTCCCGCTGGGTTTCTTGCTGGTTCTTCCCAGGACAGAGGTATTTTCCGAACCAGGGGTAAATAAAAAATGACTTTCAATAAGTATTATGTAATAATCAATATTGAATAAAAAATTATTCTATCCTGTTCTATTCTTTGTTACGCTTTCATGAAAGCTAATGGATGGATTTGGATGAAATATTGTACACGGATAGAGCACGACCTGGGTAAGACATAGGATACTTTTATCCCGATAAAACGATCCCGTGGGATAATTTTCAATGGTCCATACCAGGCGAACGAAGTCACGGGCGAAAGCTAGTAAAAATTAAGGATCCTTTGAGCTTAGTGGCCCCGGGGCACTGCCCCGCCTCGCCCTACGGTAGCTACGCCACTGGTAATGCTGCAGCAATTTTACAGTTGCAGCACGGATAGGTCGGATCGACCTGGGGAGGACCACGTTCTCACAGAATGCCAGCATAAAATTGCAGCTTCATGCTACTTTATTTCATATGTGATTGTAGAAAACTTAAGACCCTTTTTGTTGGAAACGAGTGATTCCATCTTAGTCCTCGGAGACACAGATTACCCCCTAATAGATACCGCATCATTGAATATTTGTTCTGTTTCGAGTTCACCAAATTTGGTCCTATGCAAGGGTTGCGGGGGACGTGGCAAATGCGCTGTGATTGGATATTTAAAGGTCAAACTTAGAATGTACCAAACCATAGTGATGGAACAGGGTTGGGACGTTGATCGATAAATTTAGGATTTATTGATAATGATAAATAAATATATTGATCAATTTTTATTTAATGTTTATTAAAAAATTAAACAATGTATACATATATTTGTACATTTAATTTATAAATATATATTAGACTGATTTTTAAAATGGATAATCTTAGTATAAAATTGTCTCACAGAATTCTTAGGATCTGTCTTCCTGGATAAGTAGAGTAATATTACGAGTATGTCTATGTATTTTTCCATAACACTGTTAGCTAAATCAATGACATGATTACAACTTTCGTGATCGAATTGGTGATTTTTTTATTTCATGAAAAATATCCTCATAAACAAAACTGCTTAATACTAAATAATAATAAAAACTTAATACTTAATACTACTTAATACTAAACTACTTAAACCCGTGCATTCTGGTCTCTCGCCAAGGCTGTCCAAGGGAATTTCTGTAAGCCATCACTACCATCTCTGCACAGGGAGGATGACTCACTGGCCCATGACGCAAAAGACAAAGCCGACCTTTTAGGCTCCTTTTTTGCGTCCAACTCGACTCTTGATGACGGGGGGAAAACACCGCCGACCATCCCGCGATGTGAGTGCTCCATGCCGGATGTGCTGTTCTCACAGCGCTCGGTTCGCAAAGCACTGCTCTCCCTGGACATCCAGAAGTCGAGTGGGTCTGACGGAATCCCCCCAATTGTGCTGATGACGTGTGCTCCGGAGTTGGCACCGGTCCTAACGCGTCTTTTCCGGTACTCCTACTCCCAAGGCGTAGTTCCGAATTCATGGAAGACAGCTTTTGTCCACCCGATCCCTAAAAAAGGCGACCGCTCAGACCCATCCAACTATAGGCCTATCGCGATCACCTCCTTGTTCTCCAAAATAATGGAATCCATTACTAACTGCCAGCTCATCCGGTACCTTGAGGATCACCAGCTGATTAGTGACCGCCAATACGGTTTTCGTCGGGGTCGATCAGCTGGTGATCTTCTGGTCTACCTGACCCATAGATGGGCGGAGGCAGTAGAGTCCAAGGGGGAGGCGTTGGCCGTTAGTCTGGACATTGCGAAGGCCTTCGATCGGGTTTGGCACAAAGCGCTTCTTTCGAAGCTCCCTTCCTATGGGCTTCCCGAGAAATTGTGCAATTGGATCACCAGCTTCCTTGCAGATCGGAGCATCAAGGTCGTTGTAGACGGTGCATGCTCCGACTACAAGCCTATTAACGCTGGTGTTCCACAAGGCTGTGTGCTATCACCAACGCTGTTTCTTCTGCATATCAATGATATGTTGCTAACTGGTAACATTCATTGCTATGCGGATGACAGCACTGGTGATGCTCTATACACCGGCCGTGCCAATATTTCTCGGGAAAACGTCGCTGAGTACCGGAAAAAACTTGTGTCTGAAGTCGAGTCTTTGCTGAACAAAGTCTCGGATTGGGGGTGACTAAATCTAGTCCAATTTAATCCTCAGAAGACATAAGTTTGCGCGTTTACCGCTAAAAAGAACCCCTTTGTCGTATCTCCTCAGTTTCAAGGCACTCCCCTTCTTGCCTCAGCCAGTATCGGTATCCTCGGAGTCGACATATCGAGTGACGTGCAGTTTCGTGGTCACTTGGAAGGGAAGGCCAAATTGGCCTCTAAAAAGCTTGGCGTGCTCAGCAGAGCGGGACAGTATTTCATGCCGGCACACCGCCTGCTACTTTACAAGGCGCAAGTTCGGCCTCACATGGAATACTGTTCCCATCTCTGGGCAGGGGCTCCCCAGTGCCAGCTCCTTCCACTTGACCGCATCCAACGCAGAGCGGCTCGAATTGTCGACGACCGAGCCCTTTCCGATCGGCTCGATTCATTGGCACTGCGAAGAGATGTTGCATCCCTTTGCATTTTCTTTCGCATCTACCATGGGGAGTGCTCTGAGGAATTGTTCGGATTAATCCCAGCCGCCAAATTTCACGAACGCACATCGCGGCAGAACTCCCGATACCATCCACACCATCTGGATGATTGGCGGTCCACCACTGTGCGATTTAGAAGATGTTTTCTTCCTCGCACGACCTCCTTGTAGAATCGATTACCATCAGCGATTTTTCCGGACCGATACGAATTAGGGACCTTCAAGAAAAGAGCGTACTCCTTTTTAAAAGGCCGGCAACGCATCTGCGATTCCCCTGGTGTTGCAGTTGTTCATGGGCGGCGGTAGTCACTTACCATCAGGTGAGCCGCATGCTCGTTTGCCCCCTCTCCTATATAAAAAAAAAAATGTTTGTGTTAAAAAACCTGGGCGACCATCTACAGATCTGTACCACTTTCCTGGTGTTTTTACAGAGGGTAAAGAAGTATTAAATGTTTTGCGTACATAGTTATAAGCCTTAGCTGAGTAATTTATGGTGAGTGCAAAAGCTCTCAACTGTGGTGAATATTTTTTTCTAACAAATTTGCCTGATTTTCTAGATTTTGATTTCTCTTATACGGTTTTTCATAATATTACGAAGATTGTCTTCTGTGAAGTGTTTTGAGCATAGTACACTATTTTTGTTGGGAAACCGTTCGTCCCCTCGACAATTTGCGTCGATCCACATCTTTTTTCCTTTCGGGGAATTTAGAAAACCTATAACATATAGGTACCACAATGATACGTCACTTAATTTTATAAAATAATATGACTTCCAAAAAAATAATTAAACTATGACCAAACAAATATCGACATAAACCTTTCGGACCCGCGCTTAAACTACTAAGAAATTTGTAATTTTTTACTTGAATCTTAGGTAATTTCGGGCCGCAGATTACGAATACGCTATAATTTTCCAGATTTTCAGCCGCCATCTTGGAAAATTCATATACCAACAATTGTATCAAACTAGGCCCTTCATTTCCTACGTACAATTGTGAAGGTCACAATTGTGTCATACTGGGCCCTTCATTTCCCACGTACAATTGTGAGTGTCACAGTTGTATCAAGTTGGGCCTAATGCCTCCTTTTTTACGTTTTTCTTAAAAGAGACCATGAATGAAATGAACATGAAAGTTACAAAAATATTTATTATAAATCACAAACACAACTTTGTACTAGTTTTACAGTAATAATAATCAACAAATGCTTTAAATGAGATCAACTTAACATGAAATGCGATCAATTTTCTCAAAGTTTAATAATAGTATTAATTAAATTCAGTCTTTGTTGTGAAAATCAAAAAAACAATTGCGGTCTTTATTAAGGCACAAGTAAATATCACACTTTGAGCAACGACAACGACTACGACTAGTGCAGCCAGGAGCACGACAGCAACGAGGCTGGTTCAGAGTGTCGAAGACTGGCCAATGATTAAAACCGTCGTACTGTCGGTCTACTGTGGGAAGAGACTTCACTCTGTATTTAGAAGAGGTAGGCATATCAGCGAATTCCAAATCTTCCCTTGGTCTCTTTCTTGGAGGACCATTTAGAAGGTGGTCACTAATAGATAACCTGAACGCCAGCAAATCCATGATGTCCTTAGATTTTCGATTCTGTGCTTTGCAGTCAGCACGATACTCGAACCAAGAATTTACTATAGCCAGGTCAAACATGTGGATGATCACTTTCACAGGCCACTTTCTGGTTTTACGCCATGTTCGATAAGCCTCCATCATCTGGTCGCAAACATCAACACCACCCATGAAAGTGTTGTAATTTTTAACTATGGCTGGACATGAAACTTCGATGTACCGTTTCCTCTTTTTATCCCATCTTGACCTGGGTTCGCGGCTCTGCTCCAAAAGCAGTTGAGACCATGAGTACCCCTTTGTTGTCCTTCCATTTTATGACGCTCAAGGTGTTTTCCCTGTTGTCAACCTCCTCATCTTCTCCTCTAGCCATCATATTATCCTTCTTGAATTCATAGAGCGTTTTCTTTTTAGTATTAAATCGATTGGCCATCAAAGTTCCTGTTCCTTCTATTTTTCTTTTAACTAACTCTTTCATCAACGGCAGTGAGGAAAAATACCTATCAAAATAAATAAAACTGCCTTCTGGGAGTGTATTGGCCAAGCGTAATACAACAGCAGCACCAACTCCGAAATGCTCCGAATCGGGTAAGTTTGTAGTAGAGCCTTGATAAATTTCGAAGTCTAGAACTTGTCCCTTGGAGGTAGTTAAAACGAAATTCTTCAATCCTGCTGGACGAGGTTTGTTTTTTACGACTACTTTCAAATCGCATCGACCTTCAAAAGGTATCATTTGTTCATCGATTGAATAGTTACCAGCATCTCTTGGCAACTGCAGGCACCTTTTTCGGACGGCATCAATGACAGGCTGCACCCTCCATAATCTATTTTTGGTTTGTTCCTCAGTCTGATTCACCGCTGTCACGTCTACACAATGCAAGTTTGTCCTGAGAAGGAAAAACCGTTCCCTAGACATTGCATTTGCAATCGGGTCGTACCTGTATTTTTCGTTCTAAATCATCTTCAGTCTTGGAAATTTTGTACACCCAACAATGGCATGTATTCCGAAAAACTTCTTTATATCTAGTAAAGAACAAACAGGTTTCATTTGTATACCAGTATTGGCCATATAATATTGATTTGTGGTCAAAGCCATCTGTTCCATGAGCTCGTCAGTAAAATAGCGCTCGAAATATTCGTATGGGGTTTTAATATCTCCTGGGTCACGAACAGCATCTTCTGGAAGAGGTTTGCCATTGAAGGGCTTCTTCTGCCATCCTGCTAGCATACTCAAAGGTATGTTATCGTCATCATTTTCTTCGCCTTCATCAGAAAAAGAGGAACTTGAATGTTCGGGGTTTTCTTCAATAAAGTAGTCCGTATCGATTTCGTCGTTGTCATCGCCCTCGTCTCCAGAGTCATAAAGCATCTCTTCGATAGCAACGTCGTTTAAAAGTGGAAACATAGTGCGGAAACTGCGAAAAATGAATAATCATTAGAAACTTAAAATACGCATGAGTTTATGTAGGGCCCACGTTGAAACAATTGTGTCATTAAAGTTCGTTAATCCGTTAAGCCAAAGCGTTTGCTTGCCACAATAGTCACTGTTATCACAAAAACATCCTATGTTTAACTATTTTTCTAATCAATAACTCGTATATTACTACACTTTCAAAATAAAACAACAGTAGGTACTTACTTTTGCCAAGTCGGGGAGCGCAATCAGTCACGAAGTGTACAGGTTGAAACCTGCTCGCAGACTGCGCGTCGGACAAAATTTGCGCGGGAGGTGAAAGTTCGCTTCACGCATAATCGTACAATACTGGGCCCGTCCACTGCCAACGTAAAACTAATGAGCTATACTCGACTTTGTGACCCGCACAATTGTATTGGAGCGGGCCGAAAGGGATAAAAATCACAACACTATCGATACACGTGCATTTGTTAGACAAAGACAACTATTGTAATTTACGTAACGAGTGAAAGAGACATTTCAAGAAGACATCAACGGGTGCTTAATTGTTATCACTTTGCACTATTTTTATACCAGTATAAGTTGATCTCCGGTGCATTTGAAATAGGTTAACGTGATAAGAATAGAATTTATTTACCAATTAAAATTTATGCCATCTTTTTGATAACTGGATATCTTAGCTGACTTGTCACACCATTTTACTGCACAGGAAGCCATTTGTAATGTATTTTGGATACAAAACTATTTTTAAATTGTCAAGAACTCGGACGTGCCTACGGATCACAAACTTGGTCGATACTGATGTCGTGATTCTAAGCGTCACTTCGTATGCTAGCTACAGCAAGTATGTATTGCGCGCGTTTGTCGCCCTGTATGCGGAATCTATTAGGGGGTAATCTATGCTCGGAGATGACAACGTATCTGCATTTTGATTCTTAATCGAAGACAGTTTTAGATTTTTGGGCCATAGCATCTACTTACTATCATGTGGACTGTGCTCGTTTGTTACCCTTATTCTATATAAAAAAAATTAAGATCACTCCTTGTATTGCTCTCCATCTGTTTATGAAGTTTCATTATAAGCGGTTTATTCATTCCGAAGTTTAATTTAATTTCAGTACCATTTTAGCTAAGTAATGCATATACGAATATATTCTACGGATTTGTTTCAGGATCGTAATGTGCGCGCCGGGAATGCTTCTGTTGCCTGTGATAATGGAGAAAATTGAACCCAAGCCCTGGATGCAGAGGATCAAGAAGGCTCACATCCTTATTCAGACGGCCATAGTGGGCATTTTGTGAGTATATTGATAACTAGACTTCACCATGTCTTTTTTTAGGACGGCTCGTCTTGTCTCTGATATAAAACTCTCTTCTTAACTGTTGCAAAACACGTACAAGATTTCATGAGTAATGGGAGGATCATAATGGCCTAAGTATCGACTATCTACAAGAGAGGAGATGGGATATAAAGCGATATGGTCTCGAGCTTGTATTCTCAAGGTGTTTTTTAAATTGACTTACTCTTAAGTTATAAATTTCCATATTGTTGTGTACGTCAATAGGCTTACTTTCATACTGATATCATAAGCCCCTCTATACCGAATTTCGGTCACGGCGGCAAGTTTCAACGGAGACTAGGTATCTGCATAGAATTATAGTGCACGAGTGTATGCGCAAGCACAGGTACACGCTCTGTTTCTTCATTCTAATGCATTGACTGCATTGCGACACGACCGGAGAGAGATCAGGATTGGAAAAAAGGCTTTACGTACTTTCCTAAGCATATATTTGATACACCTCCAACTTTCTGACTCCAGGCTGCTACTGAGAATTTGTTGACAGAGAAACTTAACAGATTCTGGCCCGACCGGGGACTTGAACCCACATGATCAGCAGTCGAGCATTCGACCACTTCACCAACGAGCCAGTAAATATTATAGCCAGTATTCTGAGACAATATCGAGCTCAAACTCAAACTCGACCATGTAAATATTTGAATGTAGAACATATTAAGCAACAAAAATTTTGGTATTTGTACTACTGCTGCTTCAATTAACGTTACTGATAATATTAGACAAGGTATGGAAGAAAAAAAAACAGTACTGATAGCATTGAGTTATATGTACTACGTACTAGAGAAGCCATTCCAAACAAAAATTTTGTGTTACTCTATGTCTTCGCGCATGCGCTGCTCTACTATCTCCCGCGCGACTTAAATATAAAATACTAATATAAAATATATATAAGAATTTAATATTAAAGACTCTTATTTTAATCTAAACAAACATATTTCTAAATGAAATGTAATAATAATTATCTTATGGAATTCACAAATCTTCAATTTACGCAATATTTAGTTTAGTGTACGGATTGCAGTACAGTTCAGTTGAACATAGTCAATGTTCGGAATGCGAAATCTAGTGCGTAGTACATATATATCGATGACTGATACTAGTTGGTTTCTCAAATGCTTTCAACACAGTTGATCATGAAATCCTCTTTTCCATACTGTCTCATTTGAAATTTGGTCCTACTGCATTGAAATGGTTTGTATCTTATCTTCGCGGTCGACAGCAGTCAGTCTGTGTGGGACAAATGATCTCAGCATGGGCTGATGTGAGATCTGGAGTGCCGCATGGTGGTATTCTTTGTCCTATACCTTTTTCAATCTTTATAACCTTCATTACCTCTTACACCGTCACTACAAGGTTATACGTTAACTTTTAGGTACTGTTTTAAATGTTTTAAACAAGTCTTAACAAGAAATATACGATCATTATCTTATATGTCAATCACGCATTTTTATACACTAAGGAATGTTTTAAAGTAAAAATGTTGTTTACAGCCTAACATTCATGGTGCCGACCGCTTGCGCGCTGTTCCCGCAGAGATGGTGAGTACAAACTTGTATAAAACTTAGATATCTGACTGGACAGGGTGTTTGTCTGCTTATTTCTGTTTTGAGTACGATTTTAGGATCTAATGTGTCACATACTTGAACTTAAAAACATTTCACATTTCAAAAATATTTTATATTCCTTTCGCGAAAACTCATCTCGGGAATCATGCTCCTATTGTTCGTATATGTGGTAAATATAACGAAATATCTAAAACCATACCTAGCATCTACATATTTCACGACTCTTATATGACTTTCAAAATTAAACTTCTAATCATTTATCGTCTAGTATCCTATTAAAAATTATATTTTGAATAGAATATATTTTATGCTTAAATTAAAAAATGTGCATACTTCTAAAGAGAGTACAATATCTACGATTTTCTTTTCCAATAATTGAACCTGATTATTTTTTTTCCAATAGATTTTTTCCTATACACATAATTCACTAATTTCTCATTTTATTGAATTGATTGGATGTTTTTCCTACTACAAATTAATCTTTAATTAAGTTGCACGACTCAATCTGTGAATGTTATGTACACTTGTTATTGATATTGGTACGAGCTTGGGGTTCGAGACTATTAAAAACTGCCGAGTTAATTACCAAAATTGACACTTTAATTGCAGAACACTAATTACAACTTAAAACCACACTAATAACAAAACACAATTGTACTACTGATCACTTTCGTTCGCAGTTGTATCGCTTCGAAGTATTCGCTTGTATCGCCAACTCAAAACTGACCCGGATCGCGGTTTATACCTTATATAGGGTCTCAGATGATTTTCAACAACTTCTACTGTAGTAACATCTAGAATATTCGAGTACATACCGGTCCCTACTTACTAGGCGTCGATAGTTCTAGAAAGTTCTTCCATTGGAATTTCTAAAAGGATCTTGACTCCAAGTTCTGCTACTTGATACTAGAGGGCGCTAGTGGTAACTAGTGTTGTCATGTACCATGTATTAATTGTAGCGCGCAACAATATGCATATCAGAAAATCATAAGTGTGTATGTTTTTGGGACAATGTCATGTAGATATATTGTAGGCAGTGGAAAAGTTGTTTTTAAATAGCTATTATAAAACTTAAAGTTGTATAATGGTAATCGAGAGAATTTCCGTCTAACTTACAATTATCGAGTATACACGCCATAAATTAGCCGCATAAACCTTTACTCGAAGAGTGTATATTATCGAAATGCAATAAGTACTAAAAAATGGGGCAAAATTCTTTCCTAATGCTATTTAGTATTAAGGGGCTTTCTTTTAGTTGTTTATCGACAAATAGTCACCAAAGTCATCGCTTACATGAACTCTTTCTTAATTGGGGTATTAACTTGTGAGCTGTAATGCTTATGAACTCGGAAACTCAGCGTCAAACGATCTGCGATCGTCAAACTTGACGAAACACGTCTAACAGTGTACTTTTGCGGGCCGATATAAAAAGTTGAAGAATATTACTGACAATTTATTTATAACCTGTCGGAAATATCTGCGAACCTCGCTGGAATGCGCTTCCCCTCGCGCTTCCCCGCACCTCCGCCCGTTATCGTCTATCCAGTACCGTTGCCATCTCTCCATATTGCATGACGTCAACAAGCCAGGTTCGCAGATATTTCCGACAGGTTATACTTATCATAATCGTGATTAACCCTAGATTATCAAACTACCCTGCAAGTGACGTTGTTACTAAACATTCGTAAAAAATACGACATGGAAATAAATCAGAATAAATTTACGAATCATAAACTTTAATTATTTTAGAACATTCTTTGGGTTTAAGAGATCACATAATAATGAAAATAGTACAGATTATTTTTCTCTAAACAGTTTGAACACATGTTCAGGTTGTACACCACACCACAGAATAAATAATAGTACTACGTACAGAAATTGCACTCTTTTGATGTTGACTGCTTGCCGACGTTTTAATAGCCTACATAGTTATTATTAATCAGATAAATCGCGCACGCAAGCTAAATAAAACTATCGCCGCGCGCGAGTGTCCATATTATTTTGCATCATTTCTCCTTACTACGTCATAACGGACTTTCCGTGGTTGCTAAGGGCTGTTAATAAAGAGTAAAAATATACATTGTGAAATGATAAGTTACTTAGGTAAAGTACCTATGCTGACTATAATCGACCATATTATCTACTATGTGAGTTCTGTGATGCCCAACGCATGCAACTTGCAAGGCCATTCGTCGGGAATCGCGATGCTTGGTTCGTATAGGTAGATAGCGTAAACAACAAATAAACTCGTAATACCATCGATATTCATTGCATTCCGAACATTAACTATGTTCAACTGAACAGTACTGCAATCCGTACAAACTAAATATTACGTAAATTGAAGATTTGTGAATTCCACAAGATAATTATTATTATATTTTATTTAGAAATATGTTTGTTTAGATTAAAATAAGATATTTTATATTAAATTCTTATATTGATTTTATATCAAATTAAAGTCGCGCGAAGACATAGAGTAGGACACAATTTTTGTTTGGAATGGCTTCTCTAGTACGTAGTACATATAACTCAATGCGAAATACGATTCCCAACAGAAATATGATCGTAATCTACTTAGTTGAAAATCTTGTAAACAAAGTTTTAATTTCAGTATTTTGTGCTATTATAACTTAAAATATTTTAATTACAAAGACGAGTATAGGTATGTAAGTAGGTACTTGGGTAGTGAAGTAAATTTCAACTAAGTTTTGTAGTAAAATACTTAGGTATTACTTCTATAGTTAAATTATTACTTAATTATTTTTTCGCTATAAGTACCTATCTAACAAAAAAATAAAATAAATTTACCTTTCATTATCCTTCGGTAACTCAAAAAATGATGTATCTGAATCCTTTTAATTGCTCACTAAGCATCCATCCCTGCAACAATTAATAGTAGGAACGACGTTTTGCCATTATACTTTATCAAATAGATAAATAGGTAATATACATATAATATTATTCTTAAATTACATAAAAACTTTTTTAACTATTTTATCCTACAATTAAATATACTAAACAAAAACTATTTCGACGAGTATCCCCTAGATCGCGCTAGCCCCAACTGCGATCTACCCCTGGGGCAGCTCGCGATTGTAGGTAATTATTTCACGCAGGTAGCAAGAGTGACAGAGGCCTGACCCACATATGGCTCTTTTACATGTCATGCGAAAGTTGGCTGTAATTTTTCTAGCCTTAAACGGATGCGAGGCACATGTTTTTCTAGAATTTGATTCTTGTATAATTCCCATTTTAGAAATAGTTTCAATACCTAAGATACCTTTTATGAGCTCTTTGATATGTCGCCGCCATGTTGGACTAGTTTGACTTTTTTGAATCGATTTCCACGTTGATATATTTTACTACTTATTCTAGCATTTTATCGCTAAGAAATAAAGAGAACATCTCACACGGTTTCAAGATATTACATGCCTCACCTTGAGACCGCTCAACAAAGTGTGTGATATTTGTGGAAGTAGCTTGCGTACTTAGCTGTCTATGCTTTGTAATCCATTTATGTCCATTTTGCCTCGATAACTTTTTTTCTTGGTATCTATCTCTGATCATATTGCGTTCTGTTATATTCAAATGGCGTAGAATCTTTAGATTGTAAAGAATCAGATTCTATAGGCCGGTGTCGCTTTCGTAACTAGTAATAGGAACATCAGAATCAGAACTTTCAACGATACCTGGCGTAGCTGTATATTTTTCATTATCACTATCGGTCAACTGATGTTATTCCACTTCTAATTTGTCTTCTGACTCACTCAGTATCCATTGATGCTGTGCGCTCCCATCGTCATATTCATTATGAACAGCCACTTCCAATAACTGACTAATTTCATCATCTGTAACAACTCGATACATCTAAAACAATATATTATATTGTATATGTATATAACAATTTATTATATGTACAAAATAATCCATAATTAACACAAAATCTTTGTAAAAATTGATAATAACAAGTACACTTACGTTTGTTCAAACCTCACGCAAATACGAAACTTTCGTAAAATTTACGACACATTTACTATATAACTCAATACGCAAATCACACCCGATTACAATGACAGTGCGTGGTACACTGACGGACGTAATTAGAAAGGTAAAATAAAGCGGGGCACAGGGAATGACGCAAGATTTTTTTTTATTTTCTAGGAATCATGATTTTGCCGTCGTAATTTTTACGATAGTTTAGTAATCTAGGGTTAACTTGAAATTAGCAGATTGTGTTTGTAAAATCACATTCATAAAAATAAATTTACTTTCAGCAAACTATCAACCGACACGATCAAGCGTTTCGAAAAGGAGAACTACGAAGAGATCGTGAAAAACACGGACGGCAAGCCGCCGAAATACGTGTACTTCAACAAGGGTCTGTAAAGTAGCAAAACATATCAATGGTAGTAGACAAAAGTGTGTAGTAACTGGCCGTGGAGCATTCCATCTTAGTCTTCAGAGATGAAAGTAACTAGTTCTATTTTTGAATATGGTTGCAGATGGTAATGCCTGCAGCATTAACTTACCGTCAGGTTACTGTTTTATTATCACTCTTATGTTAATATAATATTAAGAATCAAGTAATAAACTCAAACCAACAAAAAATATAGACGAAACATTATTTATATTCCAATGACGCGGGAATATGTTCTCAACTTAATATGTATAGTTTAGTAATTATAATATAGTTTAGTAACGTATTCGATTCCCGCATGAAATAAATGTTTGTATGACGTACAAATAATTGTTTGTGTGGGTGTTTGTCTTTGTACTTGTGCTTATTAATGATTTATGTATGTAAAACATATCTTTGATACAGGAGAAATTCTCGGTGTTGGGGTAACGTTTGTTTTAGAAAGAAATAAAATATATAACCAAATTTTAGGGATGTTTTTATAGGATGGCAACACTTAAACTCATTTAAGATTGGTATTCGACAGCGTTCTTTCTATATTTTTTGTTGATTTGAACACGGGTTTAAGTTAAAGTAGTAGCTAGGTAAATATCTCGAAATATTTAGCTGTTATACGAACAGTGTTCTTTTTCTATAAGCTGTATTAGTGGAATACTAAATAATTACAAACACAATAAACAATAGTAAAATAAATAACTATTAGAGAAAGTTTTAGTAGGCTAGGTAAAAAAAAAGCATAAATTAAAAACAAAGCATGAATTTAGTACAATGATAACTTAAAGTCACTTCAGCATATATTGCCGCTTATATATTTTGATTTATTTATCTTCAATATCTAGTTTTTCTATTTCACGATGAACCTTGACTTTGGTTGTTGTTAACCGTGCACATACACATTGTGTTAGTGTGCGTAGGCCTCGAGAGCGCTACGCCCACTAATACAATGTGTATGTGTACAACTAACAACGACCAAAGTCAAACCTTCATTGTGAAATATAATAACTACCAGTCTCACTTTAATAAAAGTTATAGCCAGCGTTAAGTCCAGCTAGAGATTACTTACGTTAGAGATATACAGCCTTATAATCGTTGACCATCGCGTACTTAAGTTTAGCATTAATTATCACTATATCTGTCTCATTTGTCATTTAGTAAAAAAAGAGAGAGAGAGAGCAACTTTAAGCACTTAATTAAGGCCCATAAGTATTCATAAAAAAAAAACATGATGCGTTCGAAACTTTGCAGTTTATTTAAAAAGGACAGTAATAACTCGCAGATTATTATGACATTTTTATGACAATGTTCATTTACTTTACAGAGTGTAAATTTCCATATGTTATAAATAAATAATTGAATTTGTACAGAATAAGTAGAGACAAAGTGGATATTGAATTGAGTAGAGTGGAGATGACTAAGTAGTTGTTATTTAATTGTTAAGGATTACTTACAGTTTACTACTAATCATAATGGTTAAATGGTTTATATTAAATTACTTCATTATTATATGATGGTTCACTTCTTGCTTTTTAATTGTGGTTCGTATTTTTTATTTCGCTTTTTAATGTTGCCTGCTTTTTAGGTATGTATTTTTATAGTATTATTCGGTTAAGTCCAAAGTATTATTTTATAATCGCAAATACTTCTAATAGAAAAAAATTAAAAATCTATAACTAAAAGTGAGAAAAGTAAATCAAATAATAGAATCATGCTTGCTTTTAATATCAATTAAAATAAAAGATGCTGTTAGAATTACTTTTAATAATTTGGGTATTAAAGGATAGCCATTTAAAAAAATCTATGAATACATATGAAATATGTTTTGGAAGTTATGGCATATTTTGTTTAAAAAATGCATGCTTTATTAGTGTCTATTGCTGTCTTTTTTTGTTAAGTTAAAGTAAAATTTGCATATGAAAAAAAATTGGTGATATTTTCATATAAAAAGAATTACACTGCCCATACCAGTAAGAACATACAACAAATAATGCAAATATAGGTAGGAAATAAATAACAGTTTTATTGTTTTCGTCTACCATTTTACACACTTTTATATTAGAACAGTGATTCCCAACCAGTGGTCCACAAGGGCTTAAATATGGTCCACGAAAGATTTAAATATTTTACTTACATTCTAATAGTTTTAAATAACACATGTATAGTTTTCTCTTCACGCGAGTACTGCAATACCGTGCGTCAGGTTAGTAAGTACCTACTAGCTTTTACAATAAATACACAAATAATACTGTTAATGAATGCTTCTTTATAGTTTATTATATAATTGTGATAAAAGGTGTGATTATAATTTACTGTTAAATTAACACTTTTTTTCTTTTACTTTGTGGTGTCCGCTAACTACAAAAAATGAAAGTGGTCCCTGGTCAAAAAAAGGTTGGGAAACTTATGTATTATGTAAACTTATATATTTGGAACATGTATGGGATATTTTTGTTTTTTATTTAATATTACATAGACTTCATATTTTTATATTTACCGTGTACAAATATATCCTGCATGTACATTCCACAAATCGCTTCTACACATTTCTTAAAGTATTATTTAGAAATACTCGTATGTATGTAATCTACATCTTACCATGTTTTGATATTTTTTAAAATTAACTACTGATTGTAACTCGAACCGAACTATGAGAATCTGAGTTAGTAGTAGCATATATTGTGCCATTTACATGAAAATGTGATGTTTACAGACATAAAACCTGACTATCGAAAATGAAACATCATTTTTAATTTTGTCGATCATAACAAGCAGTTCATTATCAATTTAATTTTTTTTTAATGGAATTTAAACAAAATATTAGTGTTTCTGTTAAGGTTAGGCAGTTTAATTTTGGTATTATTTTGTTTTAAAACTTTTTAATCTGAAATACATAGCTAAAATTTTTTAAATATAATATTACAATTTAAAATTTCTTTTTAATTTATATATTGTAATTTCGATTTTGACCAGTATTTGTTTTATTTTCTCATTTAAAAAATATAAAAGATCTGTAGTAGGTCAATGGATCTAAATGTTAAAATATTGTAAAGTGAGTTACTTTTAAATTGTAACCATATTGTGTTAAACTTCGCTATGATATTGCACAGTTATTACTTATAAAACCTGGCCCCTGAGCATGAATTTTCTATCGTATTGAATTCGCAGTCATCGACTAGTGCTGGTTACGTTCGCCAGGGGCGCTTTTCATATTTTCATGCAATTTTAGTTGATACAAACGAAAATAGCACAGAAGCATTTTTCAATCTGTAATTCTAGTCTTTTTTTCCGATAAACACTCAACCTTTTTTAATGAGTTTTATTTTGTTATGTATTATTGTTTGCTGGTTCATATATTGCCATTATTTTGTTTGTAAGTTTAGTATAATTTGATGGAATATCAATATTTGATTAATTACATATTGTGAAGACAATAAACTTGTTTTGAAGTAAAATATCTTTTATTTATCACAAAAATATAACTATTATGGTTTTTATTTTGTAAATGTGTTTTTTTTTTGGTTCGTACTAACTTTTAAGGTGTATGCCTGAAGAAATATTTTGAAAATCTAGATATTTTTATACATATAATTAGATTTGTGATATATATAAGCTATAACTAACATTGTTAGGTAGGTACCACTACCATCAAGACGTGTTTAGCTCACTCAAAATAAAAAATAAAGAAATGTTGTTTCTGGAGAATATTTTGACCGTGTAGTGGCGGTATAAAGTAATCCACTGCTTTATGTTACCCGTTTCGTGTCGTAATAGGTGACAGAAGGAAATTAAGCACTAGATGGTCAACAGTATCTTCCGCAAAAAATAACAAAATATTACAGTCGCCTACCCACTTGCTAAGCGTGGCCCCATTAGCATATCCATTACAGTTTATAAAAGCCCACTGGTGAACTGGCCTACTACATAGATTGCCTCATAGGAGTGATTTTTCCATAGTTGACACGCCTGGCGAGCGCTTTGTCAACCGCAGTTTTTTTAACATTTTGAGTTGTTATTAAGAAGATGCTGCTGCCCATCTCCAGTTTCAGTTTCCCTCTGTAGCGTCTTACGACACCCGCGGGACGTAATGGTTTAGCGAATATTCTTCACTTCACACCGCCACTACACGGACACGGCAACTATTACTAAAACTATAATTATTATTTTTTTAAAACGTTACCCCCATACTAGGATTTTCTCCTGTATCGTGGAGGCAGTTTACAAACACAAATTGCACAAGGACAAACATCCAGACCCGGAACAATTATTTGTAATTAGGTGTATAATACTGAGATGAGGCTTATGTTCAGCGATGTACTTTTGACAGGATATAATGAATGAATGTAAAGAGAGTAGAGTTTTGGAGGGAACTTAACCGTCTGCAGATTGTTGCTCCTGTATTATTATTTAAATAATGATTTGAAGTGAATTTTGATGCGTAAAAGTGGTGCAGTTTTGTGTATTAAATGTCTGCGCATGTGAACTATTAGCGGACACTGTTAAACAAGTGATCTGATGGTGATGTGAAACTCAAGATAAGGTGGCTGTCTGCTTAGGCGACTTGAAATATTATCAACTTGCTGTAAAAAAATCTCCCAGAATCTGCGCAATGTAACGCATCAACTTTTTTTTATAGGAGAGGGGGCAAACGAGCATGCGGCTCACCTGATGGCAAGTGACTACCGCCGCCCATGAACACCCTTTTACCGGCCTTTTAAAAAGGAGTAGGCTCTTTTCTTGAAGGTCCCTAAGTCGTATCGGTCCGGAAAAATCGATGGTGGTAATCGATTCCACAAGGAAGTTGTGCGAGGGAGGAAACTTCTTCTAAATCGCACAGTGGTGGACCGCCAATCATCCAGATGATGTGGATGGTATCGCGAGTTTTGTCGCGATGTGCGATGGTGAAATTGAGCGGCTGGAATTAGTCCGAACAATTCCTCAGAGCACTCCCCGTGGTAGATGCGATAAAATACGCAAAGATGCAACATCTCTACGCAGTGCCAGTGAGTCAAGCCGATCGGAAAGAACTCCGTCGTCGACGATTCGAACCGCTCTGCGCTGGATGCGGTCAAGTGGAAGGAGCTGGCACTGGGGAGCCCCTGCCCAGAGATGGGAACAGTATTCCATGTGAGGCCGAACCTGTGCCTTGTAAAGTTGCAAGCGGTGTGCCGGCATGAAATACTGTCCCGCTCTGCTGAGCACGCCATGCTTTTTAGAGGCCAATTTGGCCTTCTCTTCCAAGTGACCACGAAACTGCACGTCACTCGATATGTCGACACCGAGGATAGCGATACTGGCTGATGCAACAAGGGGAGTGCCTTGAAACTGAGGAGATACGACAAAGGGATTATTTTTGGCGGTAAACGCGCAAACTTGTGTCTTCTGGGGATTGAACTGGACTAGATTTAGTCGCCCCCAGTCTGAGACTTTGTTCAACAAAGTCTTGACTTCAGATACAAGTTTGTTCCGGTACTCGGCGACGTTTTCCCGAGAAATATTGGCACGGCCGGTGTATAGAGCATCACCAGTGCTGTCATCCGCATAGCAATGAATGTTACTGGTTTGCAACATCATTGATATGCAGAAGAAACGGCGTTGGTGATAGCACGCAGCCTTGTGGAACACCAGCGTTAATGGGCTTGTAATCGGAGCATGCACCGTTTACTACGACCTTGATGCTCCGATCTGCAAGAAAACTGGTGATCCAATTGCACAATTTCTCGGGAAGCCCATAGGAAGGCAGCTTCGAAAGAAGCGCTTTGTGCCAAACCCGATCGAAAGCCTTCGCTATGTCCAAACTAACGGCCAACGCCTCCCCCTTGGATTCCACTGCCTCCGCCCATCTATGAGTCAGGTAGACCAGAAGATCACCAGCTGAACGACCTCGACGGAAACCGTACTGGCGGTCACTAATCAGCTGGTGATCCTCAAGGTACCGCATGAGCTGGCTGTTAATAATCGTTTCCATTATTTTGGAGAACAAGGAGGTGATAGCGATAGGCCTGTAGTTGGACGGAACTGAGCGGTCGCCTTTTTTAGGGATCGGATGCACCAAAGCTGTATTCCATGAGTTCGGGACTACGCCTAGGGAGTAGGAGTACCGAAAAAGACGCGTTAAAACCGGTGCCAACTCCGGAGCACACGTCTTCAGCACAATAGGCGGGACTCCATCAGGCCCACTCGACTTGTTGACGTATTGTGAAGCAGTGTTACTCTAAAGGATTATTATCACTTGATACTGAGATAAATGAAGATATGGCTTAAAGGACAAGCATCCGAGCCAAAAACTTAATAAATAATTTAAAATTAAAGAATTTGTACAGCCGACTTCAATATAAGTTATTTAAGAATAACTCAAAAACTATTGGTCTGACCTTGATCAAATTCATATGGGACTACACGAGAACTATCAACTTTCATTTAAAAAAAGAATCAAAATTGGTTCACCCAGTACCAAGTTATGAGGTAACACATAAAAAAAAACATACAGTCGAATTGAGTACCGTCTCCTTTTTGGAAGTCGGCAGAAAATAGTATGTTTTAAAACAAACCTATTGTAGCAGAATCCGATAGAATGTGTTAACAAGTCCAGTGTTATGTGAAATGTAACTAGAGAAGTGTTATGACGCGTCTAGTCATTGTAGCAATATTTACTTTTCCTATATTCCTGGGTTTTGAATAAAAAACCAAACAGTTTTCATAGAAGTTTTTATATTTATATTCGATGATCTCTTATAAACTAATACAGAGATTAAACATATTTCTAAGTATTTAATCGATCACTACGAAATATTTATAGACATAATAAATTACACTTTCTAATTTACAATAAGCTTGTGTATAATACATGATAATAAGGCACCGGATCACTACATTCAATGAGTATATAGTTTCAGTTCTTAAATGTTGGCACTGAAGTGTCTCAGGTTTTGTTCCAAATATACTTGAGCAGTAATACTGACATAATAGGTACACTACGTATTTTTATATATATATTTTTTTGCTGTCATTATTATATGTATATCTATAATACTCCTATAATGAAGTTATCGATTGCATTTATACATTTCATAATGAAAAACCCGTCGAGGTTATATTTTTGGAACAAACACTAATATTTTTAACACAATAATTCTTACAGGTGCCTTAACACTAATCCTATAACTATAGATGGATGCATAATATATATTTGTGCGTGACTATCTACACTATATATAGCTACAATAAGAATTAACAAGAACATGTATGGCGTTTGAATAATGTAAATCCGGCTCGAAAGACCAAAGGTGATAACGACAGTTTTTTTTTAAACATCAAACCGAAATAAAACATTTTAATACAACACATTCAAAACTATACCAAATACAAATAGATTATTTCATCAATCCGAAATTTCTTTTCTAATTTCTAATATAAGAGAAATTACAACAACTGAATAACGCATCCATCTTAAAGCTTAAATAAATGTACAAATCAGTATACGTTCGCCTTCTCAAGCAAAACTGATGCATCGCACATCGCTTTTGCCGTCGATCGCACTAAGAACATCAAATGCAGTTGCTCGAATACATTTAACTGTACTCTTGTCCTTACTAAGCCATGCAAAACCGTCGCCCTCTCCAGATCCAGCCATCTTTGCAGAGACAGTTCTCTTTCTTCAACGGGAACGCCTTGGACAACGTCAAGTGGCCCCCATAGCATGAACTCCAGGACGGATTTCGCCTGGTTCAAGGATATGGCCCTTTCTTCTTGTAACACTTCCTTGAGGAGAGGGGTAAGTTTCTCCCCCGGTAAGAGAATTTCGACGGCTTTGATCGCACATTTACAAAGGGAGCTGTATTGCTCGTCGTCAGTAGATTTGTTGCAGTTTACTTCGTCACTCAATCTGTAATAAGGAATATTAAAGTTATTTTAAACTGACTGTTTCCCGCGACTTCGCCCGCGTGTAATTTAGGGTTTTAATTTTTTTGCGCGGAAGCCTAATTTTTTTTTCTATAATAAAAGTAAGTAATAAAAGTAATAAGGAGTAACTTAGGCTAAGTTACTCCTTATAACATCAGCTATCTGTCAATGAAAGTCCCGTCAAAATCAGTCCAGCCATTTCGAAGAGCAGCTTGAACAGACAGACAAAAATTTTAAAAATTGTATTTTTATTATAAAATAAATACCGTATTATACTTTTATATGTAAAAAGCTGTTATTTTGACATTAAAAACAGACACTTCAATTTTATTTATTTGTATAGATAAAGGATAATTTGATTTTAAGGCTTTATTGAAGTAAACTACGTAATTAGTTTATACTTTAAAAATTTGGCTATATTTTTTTAAAGTAAAATACAAAAAACTAGTCTGTTACAGTGAAAAATCGCCTGTTACACTGTAGGTAATACATAACCTAACTTTTACTTATTTTACAATAACTCAGCTCCTAGATTGACAAATCTTGCC